GCAATGAATGTACAAATGCGCTTTACACAATTGATGTGTGTATGGATTGTGATAAGAGTTGTATGAGCCCCTAATAAAATGATTTAAAAAAAAAAGAAATAGCTAAGAATTGGCTAAGATCTTTAGTTTAAAAAATTGCTTAAAAGTATATTTGAACATAAACTAGAGAGTTTATTGTTACTGACATGTCTAATCTGGACTCTGGAAGTAAACTTCATTAATATATCACAGCTCACTGCAAAATTCTACACAATCACACACTTTTTACTGGCACACTTTCAACTAGCTCTGTAGGGGTTCAACACGTGCAAATATTTTATAACAGAGATACCAAACATGCATACATATACGCACAGGTATGTATATACATTGTTAAAGACTTCATAAGCTCTTCAAGAGATTGCTGTCACAAATCAACTATAAAAATAAGGTTCAATGTGACCAAAAAATGATACAAAAAGTGATAAAAGCCATACAGATAGCCATTTCCCAGCTTAATTTTATACTTAACTACCAAGAACTTATAGAATATGTACAAAACACTAACATTAAACACTGGAAAAGGATATGAATGTACCAAAATCTTAATCGCTATTTTCCTAAGAGGATTGAAGGGAGTTAAAATGTACAGGGCGGAGGTGGCACTAAACCGGAAGATGGCCTTCCCCTTATTCAACACTATAAAAGTCTGTAAGACAGGAACACAGCACAGAAGTATAAAAGAAAGAAACATTTAAACTCTCTGGTCGACTTTTTCTACTTGCCCTAAATAATTATGCCAGTGTTGCAGGAGAAACGAGCACAACCAGGACTGGAAATCCAATAATATCACTTACCTTTACCTGCTACTTACCTGAGATCGTGTTGTCCATAACATGCTTTAGTCAAGAGAATTTACTTACTTTCTTAACACTTCAAAATCTCTGAGTTAAGTACAAGCCCTAAATGGGCGCCTATTTCCTTTTATTCTACAAAATCTTAAGGCACTACATTCCACTTAGTGATTTCAGCTTTCCCAATTGAAGTGTCTTTAAAATCAATCCTGTGGAATGCAAAATCATCCAATTGAACTCACACTCTTATTGAAATAAACATACTTCGATCATTTATCCGTATAAAATATACACCATCATTCGATTTGAAATAGAAAATAAAAACAGCTACCATCAAACCCACTCCTGGCTTAGATGGCTAGGATCCAATCATTGATTTCTGGAGGCCAAATTCCCTGGAGAGTATCCGTTGGCCAGGAGTGAGTGCTAAATTGTGTATTGGGATTTCTGAGTTAGCTGACACATTGAATTGGAATCCCGTTTGCATGCCTATCTCATGCAATGCTTTCTTAGCCCCGAGCAAAAATCCAAAGCCCACAAAGAACCCAAAGTTTGTGAATAGAATTGCATTCCAAAAATTAGACTTGACGGCAATTAGTTTGTTAAAACAAAACAAAACAAAAGACAACAAGCAATATAGAATAATGGATCAAGGACTCCGACCCAATGGCTGTTAATCTTCAAACAGATGTAGATGTAGAAAGACATTTTCTCCATAAAGAATATATTTAGGGAAGGAAATGTTAAAGCACTTTAATAAACATTTTCCCATTCTTCAAAAATATTTTTCCCCATGATAGGGTGATTAGCTTCCTGGATCATATTATGATGTTGCAAGTATTAATTTTATGCTTATTTTATAATGAGAATCCTTGATATGATTCCCACCACCACCACCTCCACCACCCCCATCTACATTTAGACTACAGTTCATTAAAGGAATCTCTTGTTTCTCTTCCTCCCACCACCCTTCTACCTTCTACCCACAGACAATGACTGAGTTGCTCTTAGAAAATAGCATTTGCTATCTTGGGGAACTGCCTTAATTCAGGATATGAAAGGGAGTTCTTCGACCCATGATGCTCTGCGAGCTGTCACTGTTATGTGACAAGACAGGCACAGATATCGAGGGTAAGAATTCAGACCTATGTATGGCAATTGGACAAGCTAATTTGATGACTCCACTCGAATAATAATTTTGAAAAATGGAAGGGGTCGTATTTGTACCTCTTTGTTTTCCATTTCTGTTTTCTGTTTGTTCATTTCTGTTGTCTAGAAATTAAATTTCAATTGTATTTTTAGAGACTAGAGATGGCACTTTCACTACCATGAGTCACTGTTCTAAAATGAAATCCCCTTCCCATGTTTGGAGGAAGGTAAGTCTAGAATGCAGGACTCCTTCCTCAGTCTGTGATATTGTGGTGACTTGTATTTAGCTGTTGAGCTGGGCGCCATGCCACCGGTATGTCACAAACCAACAGGGTCCCTCATGGTGGAAACGTTTCAGTGGAGCTTCCAGACTGAGAGAGACTAAGAAGAAGAATGTCAAGCTTTATGGACATAAAAAATAGACCAGTAAAATCTTTCTGACTGTTAGTGGAATATTGTCTGATATAGTGTAAAAAATTGTACCCCTCTGGTTGGATGGCACTCAAATATAATGTGGAGAGAACTGTCTGGTCAAAAGTAGAATAATATTCTTACTCAAACCAAGGCACAAATAATTTGTGTCAAAAATGAAGAATCTAAAGTGCTTTTTTTTTTATCAAATTCTGGAGACTGAAATTCATTAACCATACAATCAAGATGTACAGATTATTACTACTGATTGGAATGTTAGGAAAATGTTTTGGTGATGGAAATGGTGCCACAGATGGCATGATAGCATTGTGCAAGACCAATGGCCTGTTGCTCAGAAATATGTTTTTTTTTCAACAACATAAATGGCAACTGTATGCATGGACCTCACCAGCTAGACAATACAATAATCACATCGACTATCTCTGTGGAAATAGATGATGAACTAGCTCACTCTCATGAAGAACGAAGCCAGGGCCGACTAAGGAGCAGACTATTCCATGTTCCTGTGCAAGTTGGAAAAAATTCAAACAAGCTACGAGAGTCAAAGTAAAACCCAGAGGACATCCTGCCTCAATTTAGAGACCACCTCGACAATAGATTGGACACATTAAACACTAATAACGGAAGCCCAGATGAATCGTGGGTAGACACCAATGTCAACAGACACGAAGGAACCAAAAAGGCACTAAAGCCAACAATCGTCTATGTCAAGAAAATTGGAACACCGCGACGTGGCCAATAGAGTGGAGGAGATCCATACTTGTGCCTATTCCCATGAAAGGTGATTAGAAGAACCTAGAAAGATTGACGTGGTCAAGGGCTTGAGGTGACTTGGAGCCACCGTCAAGGCCAGTAGGTAGAAGCAGCAGTCAAGAAATCAAATAACTGCTCCGGGAAAATGTGCTGCAGAAGACCTATTTAAAGTGCTCACAAGCAAAGCTGTCACTATGGGACTAAAGTGTACCTACCTCAAGCCATGGTATTTTATTCTCCTCCTATGCAGTACAGCCAGCATGCTGTGAAACAAGGATGGCCTGGTTTTGTCTCATCTACTTTGGACATGTTATTCGGAGAGACCAGTCCTGGGAAACGGGCATCCTGCTTGGTCAAGTAGAGGGGCAGTGATAAAGAGCCATGACAAGGCGGATTGACACAGTGGCTGCAACAATGAATTCAAACATAAGCACAACTGTGACCGTGGCCCGGGACTGGCAGTGTGTCCTTCTGTTGTCCATAGGTCGCCCTTAGCAATAACAGTCTATGCATATCAAGTTGGGCAACAAATATGGAAGTCAACAGAATGGATGCCTTTTGATTATGGTGTTGTTGAAGAAGGCTGAATATGCAATGGGCCATCAGAAGAATAAACAAATGTCTTTGTTTATTAAATCCTGCCAGAATATTCCTTAGGAACAAGGATGCAGAGGTTTTGTCTTACTCATTTTAAATCTATTCTGAGGCGGGATCAGTCGTTGGAGAAAGATAGCATTCTTGGCAAAGTTGGAGGTCAAGGAACAAGAAAGATCCTTAATGAAATGGCTTGATGTAGGGGTGGGAACAACGGTCTCTAACATAGCAACAATTGTGAGGATGGTGTAGGGCTGAGCAGTGCTTTGATCTGTCTTACAAAGGACCTAGGGAACTTAGTCCTCTTTTCCTGTGATTCATTCTTTACTTCTGTCCCTGAATGACATTGTGAGATCATTGCAAAATGTGAACCGACTTAATCGTGCATTTCAAATGTCTTTTCCCCCTCAGAGAATGAACACACAATGACCCAGAAAGGCCAAAGAGAGTTTACACAAGATTGAATATGGTCTCCTTTCAAATCTCCTGCATACTGCTTTCTGTCCTCAAAAATAGTTGCCAACCCCTATATCTCCTGCTAGGAGATTGGGTGTTGCCCTGAGATGGAACTGATTTAATGACAACTAACAACCACAGGGGTGGGACAGTCAGTAAAACTCTGATATTGCATCTACATTTTAAAAATAGGATTTCCACCTTTCCCATCACAGCAAGCTAATTTGGAAGTGGATATGGCAGAAAAGTGAGTTATAGCCCATAGCTGGCCTAATTGTGGGCTCACAGGTGGGGTTGTGGGTGGATAGAGTCAAGATGGTGGTGCTGCTGATGGCACGGTGGACCATGACAGTAACCAGGTTCCTCCGTAGGCGGATGGACACCTCAGAGGAGAATGTGTAGCTTTGCTCCTTTGGCACCAAAGTGAAAGGACTGTGGACATACTCTCAACTCTTTAAGTCTTAGCTTACATCTTTTACTGATTGTAGGGTCTTTGAAAAATTAATTTATAAAATTCTAAAAACTCATTGAAAATCATTGTTTTGAACACCACGTTGATAAGATGCATATATCCAATATGGAAAAGTTTGGCATTCAAATTTATATAGAGAATTAAAGAAGTTTTTCTGTAAAATCATGTTTGTTCTACTTTACAGTGTTGTAAAGAAAAGGTATTAGTCTGAGGACTGAGTTGCCCTTGGCCCAAAGCATGCTATTTTCCATAGTCTTATATGCATGTGAAAGTGGGACAATGAATAAGGAAGATCGAAGAAGAAATGATACATTTGAATTACAGCTTGAACAAAAAAAAATAGCGAAAGTACTGTGGGCTGCAAGCAGAACAAACTAATCTATCTTGGAAGAAGTAACGCCAGAATGCTCCTTAGAAGTGAGGATCGTGAGATTTCAACTCACCTGTTTTAGACATGTGATTAGGAAAGCCTTGGTCCCGGAAACAGACAGCATGCTGGCTAAGGTATAAAGGTATCGTAAAAGAGAAAGGCCCTACATGAGATGGACTGACACTGAGGTGCTGTGCTAGTTACATCATCTGTTGTCAGTTTGAGACTTTCAAGTGAAGGGGTGGAGTTTACCTGTCAATCAGGTCACAGCTTGATGACCTCATTTGGAGATGCTAAGGAGATCAATAGCTCGCTGGAGGTGGGACACATGCTCACTCCCTGGGAGACATTGCAGCTGACAAGACACATGGAACTACTCTAGTGCCTGAGCTGGAGGAGGCTCATGGAAACCCCTGCCAGCACTGAGGTGCTTACAACGCCACTGGATCCACAAGACTTCCCAACCACTGGCCTGTGATCTTCCTGCTTCGGCATCATTGCATGTGTTTTGTGAGTCTGAAGAGGACTTTATAGATTGGTATCAGACATATGGGCTAATATCAGACTTATGGACTTGATCTGGACTGGGCTGGGATGTTTTCTTAATGTGTAATTACTCTTTATATAAA